GGGATAGGTCTGGAAACTGGAACAAATTTTGGCTGGGATCCGAAACGCTGATTTCGTTATTTTTGTTTTAGAGTATCAAAAAGAGCAAAGAGAGAAAAATCAGGTGAGAATTGTTTTTATTGACTTATAAATTGATTTTACGAGATTTTACCCAATCTAAAAATATGTTACACTTGGTTTTTCATTTTTCATTTTCTTGATCTCGCAGAGCGCCGCCTGAAAGAAAATCGAAAGATCCCCACAGTGTTAAACGAGTGCGAAAGAAACGCTACAGGACCGTTGATGACGAGGATAATGAGATGCCGGAAGAAAAAGAGGTCATTGAGGAAGAGGAAAATGTAAGTGTCCGCTGGTTTCCTGAGCTAAAACCGAAATTTTACTGTAAAATTTAGTCCTGACCAAACTTTATAGTAAATGGTTTTACAAGTTTGTATTGTAACTTATCCTCATCAAAGTGACCAATGGAAGTAAGGTGCTATGACGTGAAAGTAACTGCGCTAAAGCTAAGTCTCCTCTCGTTTTACATTAGGGCGACGATCGTCCACAATCTGCTGAGCCCACTCAAGTGAGTTCGGATGAAGTTATTCCTGCCAAGCCTCAACCCTCTGCATTCGCCGCCAAAGGCACTAAGAAAACTAAGCCATCTAAAAAGATTATCTCGCAGACTGTCGTTTATAAGGAAAAGGAGAAGCCACCAATGTCCATACAAGGATATTCTCCTGAACGCGAAGAGATTAACGAAGACGATTCTGTGGTTACAAGCTCCACGCCCCTCGTGGAAACCGTTGAGCCTGGTGAAGACTTGTCAATAGAAAATAATGGCGAGGGAACTGGAGAACAGATGCAAATGAAAGAGGAAACTGTTAAGGGGGATGGCACTAACGATGACGTAGCTGAGGATGGGAAAGACGTTAGTTTGAAGGGCGAAGAAGAACCACGTGCAAATAATGAGGAACTTGAAGAGGAAAAAGAGAAAGAGGAGGAAAAGGAAGAAGAAAAGCAGATAGAAAAAGAAACGAGAACTGCTCCTCCAAAGAGTACGTTGAATTTCTGTAATGACAGTTAGAAGGTAGATCTATCGATAAATTAGTCAGTCTATTCGTAAGTCAGTGAGTGCCAGCGAGTAAACCAGCCTGTCAGTCATTCAGTCTGCAAGTCAGTTGACGAGTTAGGCAGTCAGTCAAGGAGTCAGTCACCCAGTGAGCCTCTCAGTCAGTAAGTCAGTCAGGGATTCAGTAAGCCAGGCATTTAATTATTCAAGCAGTCACTTATCTCTGTTTCTTGTTGTTATTTTTCATCCTCAATTCTGAAGACCCGTTTAATACACACTTATACCTGTTTTAGTTCGAGGCGTATCACGTGTAAATGCAGCATTCAAAGAACGAGCGGAGTTGGGTAAAAGACTGCAGAAAGTGTTAAAGTAAGTCATATACCTCTTATTTGCTTATGAGATCTGACTGTTAATCTCCCTGCTGCCTTTTGTACACAATCAGGCATCTTTTAAAATTATTTGATTCACATAACTTTTATCCAAGGCTTTTCCCTCAACGCCCCATCATAATTTTCAAGGGAAAATCCATTGAAAAGAGGTTGATAAATTTTGCAGTGCATTACGTCTGGAAATCAGTGAAATAGTGAACATATGATGTCTCACTGTTAATCGAATGCACTTTTTCTTCTCACTCGAAAAACATTTGTTTTCATCAGGGAAGCTGTCAGTGAAGTCATGGGACAAGCCGATATAAAAACAAGAAAAGGTATGCATGTGTTACTTTTACCACGCCCACCTTTATTGGGGGAAAGAGACGACAACTTTGGTCCCGACTGAAAAAAATGCTCTTGTAACCTCGGTATCTGTTTGCCCTTCACTGATCTTTTCGATGGACACTTCCTGTTCCCGGAGAAGGTTCCTTTAAACTTGACTTGGATTGAGTTATCAACGAAAATCAAACCATTCTTTATCTGTCAGTTCATGTGATATGTAGCTCTCATTTTTCAGACTCAACAATTGATTATATCGCGCAGTACCGACTTGTCGACCGAAGTCGCCTGGAAATGTACGGCCGCGCGTTCACACTGGAAGACGAGGACGAGGATGGAATTATATCTTACGAGGTACTGAAAAGTTTTTACGTACACACGGCAAGAAAAAGGGGCGAAAGTGACATTGCTTAAGCTGATTTCATGGAAAGGGTTTGAATTAGTTTTAACTTTTCGATCATATCTTGTGGTCGTTCAAAGCATGGAAATGCTGAAAACCCGATAACAGTGAAAACAAAAATTATGCTTAAAATCATTTATTTGCAGCATTTCGAAGAGTTAAACCAATGACCTTTCGTTGTTTCAGCAAATGATGCTTGCCCTAGAGGGGGTATCGAGTATTGCAGGGATGTCGAGAAAGCAGCTTTTGTTCGTGTTACAGGTAAGACTTACCATCAGCAAGAAAAACATCCCACGCCCATTTTACTTTTCTTTTATTTTCAATCTTAAAAAGAATCAGAGCAGAATGTTTGTAATCTTTCATTTATTTATCATAAAAAACCCTAAGGAAAATTCAGCAAAGTTAAAAAGTTACAATAAATTATTTTTCATTTTGTAATAAACTTTTTCATGTGAACGTTCAGGTTGAGATGAACCAAAATTTTAAAAGCATACTGAAAACCTACTCAGGCTGAGAGTCAGTTGAGAACGTCTTTATTTAGCTCATTTTTTTTTTGTGAGGAGTATAATCGCGAGAGAATCAACAGTTTATATTTTCTTGGTATCAAGTGCAAAGGAAATGTAAAATTGTGGTCTAACAGGAAAATAGACTCAAGTACTTAGGAAAATTTTCTAACATCGACGATGCGATTTTCTTATTGCACGATGTAGTGAAAGATTGAGATGTCAAGAAATTTTTCAGGCTCAAATCGCCAAAGAAAAAACCAGGAACGTTCAGCCTCAGCCCTAAAATTAGGCATTGATATAAAAAAAAGAAACTGTTTGACTGAATTGTAGAGAAATTTATCATGCATGTCATAGATTCGGTCGTATAAATATCTGATGTTTACAAAAGGATTATAAATATAAAACTGGATAATCTGGGGCTGAACGAGTTACGATGAACATCTACTACAGTTTGACTCTTTGTCAATGCACCATTATAAAGGAAACATGTCGTGTTCCTGTGTTATTCGAAAATGCCCCTGATATTCACACGAGGGCTTTCATAAATATCTTCTCTGAGAATTATTTATGTATACTCTTTTTTAATAAAGATCGGAAATTTGTTTTCGCAGCAGGAATGGCGCTGAAATGTTCGTGATATCTGAATATATTTTAACATATCGTTACATTAAATTCGATTTTGTTTGGGAATAAGAACTTTCGAAAATTTCGGACACATTTTCTGCGTATGGTGTCGAGTTTCAAATTGTTTTCTGGGTTAAAGGGTTTATGGGTTAGAATTTTAGGTGGAAATTACCTCCAAAGTGTATATTACACGAGGATCGTTCAAATCATTCGGAATATCAAACATATGAATTCATCCTTTGTGGGCCATGGATCCAAGTTTATGCTTGACGTCGACAAATTTCCTGGCGCTGTTGATGCTCTCTGTTTCTCAGACTCATTCGTTGATTCCTTGATCGAGCGGTGGAGGTTCTCTATTTTTGTTTCTTGCAAAGATGAAACAGTATTTCTCGTTTTCGACGGTACTGCGCTTGAAGCACGCTCCTGATTCAGCTTAGCGAATTCTTTCTGGCTTTCTAGTAGAGATATCTTTCTGTGTATTCGTTTCAGAATAACTGACGGTTTCCTCTTGCCGAAAAATCGATCTTCCACTTTCAAGCAACCATTTTTCTTGTCGAGGTCTATGCTTTCCATCTAGCAGATTTGATGCGTCAGTTCCTTCTCGTCAGTCGAAGTTTGCAATTGTTGGCTTTCCAGCTTTAAATTATCCGATTAAAAGCTTTCGTTTTTTTCCTGTGAATATAATTTGCCACCTTTTTTTTTCTTCTCTGGTTGATCAGCTCATTTCTTTAAATTCGAATCTTTTGTGTTTTTCTGTTTGATGTACAGTACAGTAAACACTGTTTCCTCCTCGAAAACAATCGCACAAAACTACGCGTTATTGTTGTGCTCGGTGAAATATCAATTAAGGCTTTGGCAAAGTGCATTGATCCTTTACAACAGGTCCGAACAAAGGAGTTAATTGAAGGTGACCATCTCGTAGCATGGAAGAACAATAACAAAAATCAGCTAACCACGGTAAAATCTATCGCGAGAGAAGTCTAAATGGTCCCAGGAACAATTTAGCAGCAATCTATAAATTATTCATTATTTTCTTATAAATCGCTGTTCCCTGTCGCTTCTGTGAGGTGAATTCAAAGTTAGCCGCGATCGTTTTGTGAAATAAAGGTAACCATGGCATTTTTAATTGCTTAAGCTCTCTTCAATGATATGTTTTAGCAGCTTTCACAACAGGTGATGAAAAAATTTGCATTTGCCAACAAGTAGGACGAAACACGGTGACAGTCCATTTACACAAAAAACAAAGTGACAGAGAGGTGGTAATTGATTTCGTTCTGTGAATATTTTTTTTGGTTAAAGCACGATGACCGAATATATCGAAGAAGATGGAAGACAGCGCAGCAGATTTGAAATTAATGCAATATTCTCTCCAGATATTCAGTTCGCAAATTTCTCTTTCATGTGTGTCTTTCCGAAAATGGATCTCATTTTATTAAGTTATTGCTACCATGAACAAAATTCGGGATTGTCAAAATAATTTCCAGTTGTGTTTACATGATCTTCCCTCTTTTTTTTGTCCCTTTGGCCTACATTAGGTGCACTCCAGTGGACTATACTATATAGATTCTCCATGTTTACAGAAGCAAATTATCCACTGAATTGCGTGTGTGCGATTATTTGACTGCTGTGTTCCGCTGTGTTGACGCCGCTTAATCCCTCAGCCTCGTTCCCAGGGGTTACTCAGTCAGTTTTCAAAATGGCAGCTGGTCAAGTAACCTGTGATTTTGTGCTTTAATTATTTCAGGTGCTGGAACTCTTCCCAGGCTCGAGGATAACTTTCAAGATGTTTTCAGTGGCTACTGCACTGTGCGAAAAAGTAACCATTCTGGAGTAAGCATATTTCATGTCCTACTGAGAACATGTTTGCAGTAGTCCTTTGGTCATTAAATCCAGCATGGATAAAACCATCTTCATTGAATTTCTACTATCAGAAACCCGTTGTATAAATATCCCCAAAAAGTAGAAGCTAAATCACTGTTTTTTGCGCCTTATTGTTTTTTTTTTTTATTACGGGTGCAGTTTTTAGGTTACACCCCCCTCTCCCCCCTTCCCCATGAAAAAAAGAAAAACAACAAAAAGCAATTAGATCTCCCCATTGCCAATAAAATACATTTGATTTGTCCACGTGATGCAGGGACGTGGCCTGGACGTCATGTAAAGTAAAAATTTGAGCTTGCGAAGTGCTATACACAACTATGATTACTAATTTTTTAAAATTAATTTTTCATTAACTTCATCAAGTGCGTTTGTCAAGCAGCTGGTCGAAGAACTAGACCTGTTTGAATTGGAGTGTAAATTGGACATGTTCAGGGTGAGAGAACGTTGTATCCTGTTTGTTGTTGTGCTATTTGGTTTTTCTGTTCGTCTACTTTACTGATAAAAGCGATCGCCATGGTTGGCCTAACCTCAAGATCGCCGAGCGGGACAGCGTATTAGCTTTCGATACTTTGCCCGCTGTTAGTAGAGAGTTACAGCACATAAAAAGGAACGAATGTTTTGTAATTTACGCCCTTTTAAATTTGTAGTGTCCAGTTCAGTTTCCAAGTTTTTCGCTTTCTGTTTTCAGAATATGTTTTTTGTCACCGGTGATTTCTCTGTAACTTACATCACCGCTGACCAACTAAGAATTGAACTGAAGGCCGGTGGGCTCAACCAGAATCAGGAGGATCACGTGATAAGGCATATACTTCAGTCCAGCGATACTGGAGAGGTGAGAATCTGTCAATCATTCTCGCGCACGCGAGACTTTGGCAAATAGAGGTTGGACTCCCGAGATGGCTTAACTTAAGGGGTCTGGGTTCGAGCCCTACACGGGGTGACTGAGTCGTATTCGCGGGGAAGACACTTTACTCTCAGCGTGTCATCCTCCATCCGACATGGTAAATAGAAAGCAGAAAACTATTGCAAAAACTTCACTAGCTGTTCCAAAGTGAAGGGGAGGGGGAGGGGGGGAAAGATGAGTGAAATCACGTTCAGGGGGAGATATAATACTCGCGTGTGCTTCATGCTTTGGAAACTAGAATAGGCTACAGCACTGACGGCAGAAATCTCTTTTTCTACTCTTAAACTGTTCGGGTTTTTGTGACTCAGCTTTTGTTGTTTTCTCCTGAGATGTAAATTACAACGTCTGGTTTTGCGCAGCCATTTTGCTTTACGTACATTGCTAACGCATTTTTTTATCTCACACGTTTGGTTATTTTTATGAACAACGACAGCATTCATATCCTTGCAAGCACTCCATTTTCAAAGTGTTATGGTGTCAAATTTATTATAGTTATTAAACAGCTTTTAGTTTAGAAGAGGACTTTTGGATCGATTACTTTATTTCGTGACATCCTATAATCCTTGAGCAAAATGAATTCGTAATCTTCATTATTACGTGTACTTTCGTTTCTTCCAGATTTCGTTTCTAGATTATATGGCGTATCTACCTCTATTTCTGTCCATCCACCAAAATATCTGTGACAACGCCCTTGATATGTCACGCAACAAGTATCAACGTAACAGTGCAACATGACAACAGGTTACACTAATGGAGGATGCATTGTGACATCCACTTAAACATTTGTGACAGCGCTCTCGACATGTCACGTGATAACGTAATGAAACTGTGTGACATCAAGTAACCCCACGGATATACTCTTGTCATGTCATGTCATGCAGCAAGAATCGACTTGACTTTAAGTGCACCTGACTTAAGAGAGATACATCACGGCGGGTGCGTGGCAGAATTAAAGCGAATTTGACATTTTCCGCCAAGTCTTCAATAAATTTAACGGGGAAACAAACACTTTGTTAAGCATGTGTTGTTAGGAGCTACGAAGACACAAACTGATATTATTGTCGACAATAATATAAAATAACAATAAAAATAATTTTGGTTAGAAATACAACTATATCTCATTCTATGAGTACGTGTGATATTTTAGACACAAAGCGTAAGGAGGTTGGGGAGGAAAGGGGTCCCAGTGCCATAGGGGTTGCTTGAGCAACAATTCAATACGATTCTATGCGAGAACTATCACAATTTTTTCCAACCTTCTCTCTCGTTCCATGGTTATTTTAATAATACTAGGAGGAAATAAAAGAAAATTACGGAACTCGTAAAATTCATCCTTAACCATAGTACATGTCCTATGATGATAAATTTACAATCGGATGCAGCATTTTTTCTTTAATACACATACACGCATACATAAACTTTTTTTAGTCTCGAATTTAGAGAGTAGCACCCAGATGCTAATATATTTATGCTAACTATATTGAACTAATCATGATGACGATTTAATTCTTTAAAACAAAAAATATATCTAGCCCAACTAAACAACTAATTTGTTAAAATTAACTTAGTATACTTAAGACTGCAATACAAGATTAAAATTCCACTCATTTGTTTCCATCAAAATTTTAAATAAATAACTTTATTCGAACTTTGTACTGATTAGAGCAGTTGACACAACTAAAAAACTTGGCAGTAGTCGCAGTGTGTCGCACTGGTGCGAGGACAACTCTTTGAGCTCTACTTTCAATAGTTCGAGTTCAAATCTTTCATTTTTAATTTTTTTCATCGATGCCATATTTTTCTTTTGAAATCATCTTTACAATTTCATGGCAGAATCCTGCCAAGAGACGCTAAAATTTTTGGACTACCTTTGGAGAATGTTCAACTTACACTCAGAGAACATGTTTTAGCCACTGGAACAAAACTATCTTCATTGAATGTCTACCATCAGAAACCTGTTGTGTAGTTATCACTGGTTTTGCGCCTTTTTAGTTTTTTTTTAATACTGTAATTTTTTTATTATTTTAAAAAGTTGCCAAGTGAGATTATTTGAATATGTTTCGGGTTTGATTTGCATATTAAAAATGCGTGCAAACAAAAATTGCGCCAAGTCTATTACATGTTACTCAGTGATAGGTTTGTTGTTTTCTAATCCATATTCATGTTAACTGTAGAATGTGCCTCAAACCAAACAGGTCGTAGACGGGTGAGGACGTGTTACTATGTAGGGAAAGTTTAACCAAGGGCGTACTTGACGTGCCAATGGCTAGGAGCTGGGGACATAACTGAACGTTATTTCAACCGAAGGTGAGTTTCGTTTTTCGTTTGGAAATTTTTGTTGTAACTTCATTCCCGTAACTGCTGGCGAATCATCAAATCAAACTTTCTGACACGTGTGCACTCGTTCAGCGCTTTAGGCGTTGTCTTTGAATAAGTTTTGTTTTTTTTATTTTGTTCGGAATTTGGAACCTTGAACTTCTTAGGTGTGTTCTTAAACCAATGCTGTTTAACTGGTATTTTTAGAAACATAAATCCAAATAAATCACATTTCGAAACAGCAAAAGACGAAGCTGATTGTTTGCATAAAATTTAAATTCAATACAAAAAAGCCACGTGCGTTTGAGTTTGGAAGGAATGGCTATTTATAACGCGAAGGGGTATTGTGGCAGTAACGCTTTGACTTAAACGTTGTTTTGCTTATTTCTGGTTACAGGAAAACATGATTAAAAAACAGGAAGGAAGAAAAAGAACTCAGGAGGACAAACAGGAACATAATCGCGAAGAAACTCGGCAAAGATAAGAATTTACAAATCTTCAATATTGTTGTAATGATATTTAAATGGTACTAATATTGCAGAGTTACCGAAAGGTCAAGTCTTGGGTGATCATTCGATTCAAAAGATTTAGCCACAGAATATTTCGGAATTGTTTTAGTTATACCATACCGCGCTCAGTGTTTGGTCGAGAAAACTCGCCCGACGCTCGCATTCAATCAAATTCAGATCTAAAACTGACCAAGCGGGACTTGGTCACTAGCGTTTTCTCACGCCTCCGGAGATTGTGTCTCAAGAAAAGTTGATGGATACAGAAATCTTTTTTATTGAGAATTTCTTCCCACCAACTTTACACAATTGAATTTAGCATGAATCGGGTTGCTCAAGCTTTGACCTTCATGTAGGCTGTAGTGATTGGTACCATTGTCAAGTCTTGACGACTAAAAAGGGTTAAGTTACTATGGTGGATTTTTTAAGGTGGCACTGAAAGACAAACGTCAATCCAAGAAACTCTGAATATAGAGACGAGCATAGATTTCCGGCCCTGGTGAATCCCAAACAGCGAGGAAGTAAAAGCCCTTTGTCAAAAACGTTTCGGCTTTGGTTGGAAAAGTATCCACACCAACAACGAAGAAACAAAATTGATCTACAAATGCTCTATAAATAAATATTTTGGCCTTTGTTACCAAAGGAACAGTTTGCTTTAACTTCTTTATTTGTTGGAAAATAAGGATTCCTGAACGTGGTTATTTTGATAACATTTTGTCAAAAAAATTGTCTGTGCCACCTTGAAAGATTCACTTAAATTTCATTTCTGACTATTTATCCGTCTTGCAATGGATAAGAGAACACTGGCAACCAAAACCTATTATTGGTATAAAAATTCATTTTCGTAAAAGAATAGCCATCTGCGTACGACTTATTTAGAAACGGCAACACTTCGGTTACGCTACATAGACAATACATTACCGCTGGATACAATGGTTAAATTAACGCGCTCCATATCCACGTATACGAACGAAACTTATCAAAGGGGTTGAAGACCTCAACTACATTTAAAACAACAACGAATGGCAGTTAACAGATAATTACGAATACAGACAGATTTTCTGAACGAATCGTTGTACAGCTCGACCTCACCAAGACGAACGTAACTGTAGTTTACTTGACAAGTTAGACCTTGAATCGTTTGCTTTTTTTCCTATAAAATCTCGACTTGTTAAAACAAAACAATCACTCAGAAATCTAGAGCAATTTTTTTAATATATAACTTTATATTTACAACAGTTGCTGATCAACGTTTAAGACAGAGACGAACCTAGCTAACAGAAAAAAGGAATGGTTTAAAAAATCAAGTGACTCGCTTGCCAAGTCCTCTTCAAGACTGACCGAACACAGACGATAACGTGAAATGTCAGTGTCAACAAACAACCACACTTTTCTCTTTGTTTAATATGAAACATCTTCAATACATGTCAAAAAGTGACTCACTATAAGCTGGCGCTGACTTCTGGTTAGAACGAGCAGGTTCATGAACGGCTAGGTGCCATCAAAAACGGGCCCCACAAGTTACCATCAACAAATTAATTTCACCTCAGATCAAAATTGACCAATCCCCAATCGCAACTGACGAAGGCTATTCAACACAATTGACTTGTACTCGACTTGTTTAACCGAACCATTGACTGTAGAATAGTTTTTAATGAAATTAATTTGATTTTTGCAAAATGTTTGCGGAAACCCCAGTTGCCAACGTTCTCTTGTCCTCATGCAAGTTTTGGGAAAACCTATGACTGGCTCTAGAGACTTTAAGAAATTTTCGTAAGGCGGTTTTGATTCATTTTATGGTTATACAAACCAAAAATTGACCATTTAATCATAGAATTTTTGATTTTCACAATTAATAATTTCGAGCAAATGAAAAGTGATTCACGAAATAAGTTTGGGTCTGAAATCAGCTGAAAACTTGAAACTCAGAAGGATCTCATTATCTGTTTCGGAAAAATACATTCTTTACGGTGCATATAAATTGTTCATCTGCCTCAGAAAATTCCTCAGTAGGTTATCTCAAATTACAATTGGAAGTAAACTTATTTGCTTCTTAACTTCGGTCTTAGTGCATGGGAAGTTTACTTTACTAATGGGGAAAAATTGAAGAATGCCAAGACTGTTTAAAGAGTTTGGTCTGTACAACCAGTTGCAAGGTTATTACTTCGTTGTTTTCTTTTTTTTGAGTAACATTGGACTTAGAATATTAAAACTTTGATATTTTATCTGAGCCAGTCAATGGGTTTTATCGTTGTATTTAATTTGTAAAGTAGAAAGACGTTTTTCAGCCATCGATTGATGTAACACAGGACTGTAAGGAATCTTTTGGAAAATCAAATTTATCGGTGAATAGTAAAACTCGATTCGGCTAAATTCTTGTCTCAATAATTTGGAAAAGATAGGTGAAACTAAGAAATTATCTGATTGTGTGAACTCTTG